GTGGCCAACTAAGTCGCCTTGACAACACAACTAAGTTGCGAAAATGAGATAAGACCACTTCTACAATATGGATTGCCTAATAATAAGTATTTATATATATTTTGAAAGAATGCCCAGAAACCCGTCTAGTTATTTCAAAAACCAATCGCAGAACCAATATGTGACAAAATCCATACACTATCGAAAAATATGCAAATTTTGTCAGACGGAGTGGAACTAAGAGCTGCCTTAGCCATATGGTACCTTTGTAAGACCCTTGAACTTATAACGCCTGTCCCGGAATGCTCGAACAGTGTCAACGTAGAAGCTGTTTTCGCGCTGGCAGATCATAGCATTACGTTCCTCTATACGAGTTTGATGAATACGTTTGTAGGCGCGACGACAAAATTCAGTAAGTCGACGTTTCTCCACTGCTGCCTGTTCATTGTTATCCAATTCGAAGAAGTTTTTCGATACAGTTATCTAAATGGAATACAACGCAATAAAATAAATAAGTATAATCATAGTTATGAATTATGTCGTCTCAAACTAAAAGTATTGTATTTATTAAATTTGGAAAGCCTCCTTGATTAAAATAGAAAAAGGAAGGCAGTTATACCTTGTGTGAAGAGAAAAGATCCAATATCGTAACCTCTGACACGCTATAGGAACAAACAAAAACCTATTGTAACTAATAAATGCAAGCAAGAAAAGGGAAGATATATATATTTCATGAGATGATTTCAGGCAGAAAACCGTATATTTTAAAGATTTAAATCCTTATTTAGTAAAAATTAAAAAAATTGTCCATTTACATTATTTATTCATATTCAAAAATGAATGCATAGGCAAGAACTGTCTGTCATCAGGCCTCTTGGCCCGAAGTAAGTATATTTATAAATCTCATATACTTGCCTAGTCACTCGTCTCATTGAAAATTGTCATTACTGATTATATTTTATTAATATGGTTAATCCGTTAACTGAGACTAAATTCTGACCACCCAAATATTGCTATTTAACTTGAATTTCATGAGCCTCCTAGAACAGTAATAGTTCTTAAGCATGGGGCCTCACGTATTTAAAAAGCTATTTCGACTTGTAAAGATTGTTGTAAAGACTTTCATTTAGTATGGAAGTACGTGATGAAGAGATTCGTATGTCAATATCACCACAAGTCGACAGCTAATTCACATTGTACTGCAGCTTTTTGGCATTGATAAGACGTTCGGGTTGATGCAGTTCACGAGACTGACGAAGATAGGCTGCGCTTTCGTTGGTCAGAGCTGGAACTCATTTCTGTAAAACCCTCAATCAGACTGTCCGGCTCTATCTTACCTCTCCTTTTACTTAGCGTTAACTTGATGGCTTTGCAAGAATGAGTCCCAACGCTGGCAATGTTTATCACATCACGAACGAAAGTACAATTCGTCCACGCCTAAAACATTGGAGGATGTTTCGTGGGCTGAATCAAACTGAATGTCGTATTAGGGCCAAATGACTGCAGTAAAATGCGAATTAGCTGGCGGCTTCTGATAAAATTGACATACGAATCTCTTCATCATGTACTTCCATACGAAATTAAAGTCTTCACAACAATCTTATCTCAAGAGATTCTCTGAAACCCGTATTTTCTTCGTACATACGACTTGTAAAGCCCCTATCCTT